ATATATATATATATATATATATATATATATATATATATATTGCATACCATTATAATTCCTTGCAGACACGTTTTGAATATTCTAATCTTATTTTTGGGTTTTTCTGTTGACAGGATCTCATCTCTGCTCCTATGATATTACTCCTCCAAGATACACAAGCCATTCAGACAGATCCACGAAATGTCCCAAACTCCCTGTTCCTCCGAGGTAATCCAGTGCATCCTTTTAGGTTTTAGTTAAGAGACTTGATGAGAGGGTAGGGGGATGGGAAGAGAGAATACAGAAAGTCTACCATTCAGTCATTATATATTTGTTGACTTATGTATTTCAGTGGTTAATTCACACCACTATGCACTGTAGCCTTACATGTACACATTCCAGGACCAAAAAGGACCAAAGAAATAGATGGATATAGTCTGTATTCCACTGCTTCAAGGTGTATTCACAAGAAACAGTTGAACCCATGTTCTTCTTCTTTGTCTTGTTTGTAGTAAGTCTGTCCCACTGTTGCACCGCTGTGTTCCTGTGGATATCGGCTGCTATGCTGAGTTCGCCCAGGCCTTCATTACGTTCGTCGGTGACAACAGTGTGCTGCGCCGGGTCATCGCCGGGGTGATGGCCAGCAAGGAGATCATAATGGGCCTTTGTTTGCTGGCTTTTGGTATAACACATCTGGAATTATTTTAGACATATAATGAATGGTTTTTAATCCAATGACAAATTACTGTTATTTCTTCTTCTTTTTTTTTCTGCTGCTCCCACTGCTCAACCGTTTATTGATCATGAGGATTCAAGTAGGAAGGCCACTTTCGGAAGCAAAGCTATTTTTGTCATAAAAACAACAGGAAACGTCTGAGTGGTTACATCCATTGTATCCGCTGACGTTCAGCCCACGGGCAGCATTCGGTTGAGGTCTGCTGGAACTCCTCCCATTGGTGCAGCAAAAAGACAGAAGTCATCATCAAGTTTATCTCTTTTCATCTCAATTATTTGATCCGTCTGGTTTTGGTTGTGTTGAATGTCGACGCTGCACCATTCGTAACGTTCGTGTTTCCACACGTGTCTCATTCATTTACAAACCCACGGCTTCATTGTATCGCGTAGATAAACATTGTTGTTCGTAGTGTTTTATGCACTTATATGATGCACTGTGTTCTTTTTCTCAGTTCTGTCCCTGATCATGATGGTTGTCATTCGTTACATCTCCAAAGTGCTGGTCTGGATTATAACGGTCCTGGTAGTCATCGGCTCTATAGGTAACCTTCAGATGCAGCGTACATGTTCTAGCACCTACACACCTCTTAACTACATTATGTTGATGCGAGACAGCAGCACAGGATGTCTTTGTATTCAGGTTATACTTGAACTCGTCTCTGCTCTGATCTGTTGCAGGCGGGACGGGCATCCTCTGGTGGCTCTATGCAGACCACAGGAAAGCCCTTGATAATAATACCTTATCGGTGTTTGGGAAAGAAGTGGCCTCAGACAACGTTAAGGCCCTGCTCGTGTATGCAATTGTTGCTACCATTTTCACGGTATGTTCTTGAGTGTACAGGTAATGCATGCATTTCTGATACAGCTTCCTATATCACAAGTAAACACCACTTGTTGAATATGGTTAAATGTATGTGCTTCTTCCTGACAGGAAAGGTAATTGAATTGAATTCCTAAACTCTACAGCTCGGTTCACTAGATCGCTCGTCTTTGTGTGTCACCCTCCAGGTGGTTCTCCTGCTTGTGATGTTCTTCATGAGGAAGCGCGTGGCTCTCACCATCTCCCTGTTCCACGTGGCTGGTAAAGTGTTCATTCACCTTCCCCTGCTGGCCCTGCAGCCCTTCTGGACCTTCCTCTGCCTCATGCTCTTCTGGATCTACTGGATCACTGTGCTCCTCTCTCTCGGGACTTCAGGTGAGGACCTAGGCTGCTGGGGAGGAGCTCCAATACTAGTCGTTCATTTATGTGGATGTGTCAAAAAACGGCATTCACTATTCAGAAACGCTACGTCTGTGTATACATGCTTCAGAATAGCTTTTATTGTCAATGCGGCACACAGACACGTTTCTAGCATCAGATGTGTTGGTGGGACCGTTTCCCAAACAAGTCGAATATTAAGTTTGGTGCTTGTGACATTTTGTCTTGGTTTTCGTGGCACGAATAAACTCCCACATTTGGAATCTTGTGCTAGTCTCCTGATGTGGGAGGATGGAGCAGAAGAACAACGTCTCCCTTCATCTCCCACTCCTCTTTTTCTACTGTTGATTTTTAATTCAGAAAAGTCTGAAAAAAAACCGAAGGCCAGCACAAATACAGTCGGAACATCACGTTTTCTTACTTTATGTTTACTATGTTTCTGTGTATTTGGTAAGTATTCAAAAAAGTAATATTATAGATATCATTGATTCAATTCCAACAGCAGTGAAATCTCTTCACAATGCATTAGCATTAACATATATTGTATAGTGAAGCTTTCCATGCATGTCTTTGCGAAATATTAGTTGCTGTGCAATGAGGAGATGTTGCAATGTAATTATTAAAAAAACATCCATAGAGTACAAACACTCTATATGGTAATTTGGGAATTGTGTTCAACGTCAGTCATACATTACAAGTAGAGGTCAGACAGATACAATTTGTCGCACTTGTTTCCGGGAAGGATGCTCAAAGATATCAAGGAGATATAGAGGCGTGACCAGTGGATGCAAACAGTTTAGCCCTTGTGTAAAAATGACTCTGACTGAGCAGTAAAACACAAACTCACACTCGTATTCCTTCACAGGGACACCGGTAAAAAACAACTCTACGGGTGTTGTTGAATACCAAATGCAGGGGCCTCTCCAGTACTTGGTGTGGTATCACGCTGTGGGTCTCATCTGGATCAATGAGTTTATACTCGCCTTCCAGCAGATGACTATCGCCGGAGCTGTAGTCACCTACTACTTCACAAGGTGCGAACAGGATGTGAACAGGATGTCATTTATAATTTTACCACATGGAAGACTTAATGTTGTCTTTGCTGTCATGTTTATTTTAGGCTGTATAATTACACATATGGCTTCTATCTATCTATCTAACTATCTAACTAACTAAAGGAATAAGTCCCAGTTGCCAGCAACTCCCATCCTCTCCTCCATGGCACGTACCATCCGCTACCATCTTGGCACTCTGGCCAAAGGCTCCTTCATCATCACGCTTGTTAAGATCCCTCGTCTCATCCTGACGTATATCCACAGCCAGCTCAAAGGAAAGGTGAGCCCAGGAATTAGGCAGAATGCTACAAACTCAAAAAACAACTTCCATGATGGCCTCATGAAAGTTGTCAGTACTTTTAATACATACATTTTAATCAAGTTTGTTCTTTATTTGTTCATAGGAAAACGCTTGTGCTCGTTGCATGCTGAAAGCTTGCGTCTGCTGTCTGTGGTGTCTTGAGAAGTGCCTTGTGTACTTAAATCAAGTAAGTATTTTTCGGATTGGTGGAGGAAGGAAATCTAGTGTACTGCACAGTGGAAATAAGGTCTTCAAGTATTTACAGTGTACATGTCCGTATCGCATCATTACAGAATGCTTACACGGCGACAGCCATCAACAGCACCAGTTTCTGCACCTCCGCCCGTGACGCTCTCCTGATCCTGGTGGAGAATGCCCTCCGAGTGGCCGCCATCAACACCGTGGGCGACTTTGTCCTCTTCTTGGGAAAGGTACCGCACAGAGACGCATTCTGTGGCGTTGTCCACTAAAAGAAATGTATTATGTGAGATACTCCCTCAAAACCAAATAGATGTTTTTAACTCGTCTTATATTTGCTCTCTCAGGTGCTTGTAGTCTCCTGTACGGCTTTCGCCGGCGTCCTGGCTCTGAACTACCAGAGGGAGTACACTGTGTGGGTCCTGCCTCTCCTCATTGTCTGTCTGTTTGCCTTCCTGGTGGCTCACTGCTTCCTTTCGGTCTTTGAGAATGTGGTCGACGTTCTCTTCCTCTGCTTCGCTGTGGACACAAAGTACAATGATGGCAGCCCTGGACACGAGTACTACATGGACAAGGCCTTAATGGTGAGAGAATAGTGCGTAAAGGGGATTCAGCGGCTGACAATTAATGAAGTAACAAATTATATACAGTATAGTGTATTGCTTCAGAGGGCATTTTTCTTCCCCAGTGAGTTTAAGAAGCATATAGACTATAATATTCTCTGATCTAATAACTCTGGGATTGGGAACTGGTAGCCTTGTATGGCGATTTTAGGTGCGCTGACTGTGCTCGGTGAGCGATTTACTACGAGTTTGTGCAGTTAAGAGGGTTGACAAATCTGAGTTGGAACGCTTGTATCAACAAACCTCACAGACAAAGTTCTTGCATCAGACTCATTGTTTTGAGTGTATAATGTTTTTTTATTGATTTATCTTGACCCAGATGTTAGTTTGAGGCTTCTTCTACTTTGTTATGCAGTCCTCACATTTTCACCTGCTTCAGGCACCATGATCATTTATGTTCTATGACAAACCGTCCATATTTCTAATCCAGAACTCCCAGTGAATCATTCAGAACTCATAGAAAAAAGGGTATTTCTGGTTTATTAACTCGAAGGTCCAATGCTTTCTGATTCTCAAACCGTAACACTTTTATTCTTAACAATGAACGATCACCATGTTCTTTTATATAAAGTGTGAGTAGAATAACTGTTCTATAACTCTGTTTCCCTCCCCAGGAATATGTTGAGAACAGTAAGAAAATGGGCTGGTGATGGCGATGGATGGCGATGGATGGGAGATGAAGTCCATGGTGAGTCTTTGTTGTCTTTTCAACAGTATTCATGTATTGAAGCTGTTTTAGTTCAGCTAGAAAGCAAATACAGAATATTCTTGGAAATGTTAAAAGAAATACACAGTTAACTGGGTTAATGTCCCATTCAGAGCAGGTAAATAAGATCAAGTTGTGTGAGATTCTAATGCTATGCGTTTTGTGGTTCTGAAAGTGTGTGTGTGTGTGTATATGTATGTATGTATGTATATGTGTGTGTGTGTATGTATATGTGTGTGTATGTATGTATGTATATATGTGTATGTATGTGTGTATATATGTAT